AACTAGCAGCACCAATAAACCAAATCCTGCCAGCTGAGTGACTGCTCAGAGGCGCACTGGACAGAAGATTTAAGACAGCCAAGCTCTCAGCGGTACAGTTAGCTGGGAGACTTCCCAGGCAGCTGCTTGTGTCCCAGCCCCCTGTGGACCTCCAGGAGCCCACTACACTGACTAGGAGTTAGCTGGCGCTCATAGTTGGCTGTATCTGTGGAGCTGCCTGCTGTAGCCAGTGGGTTGCTAGGTCACTTTCTCTCTGCATCCATTTGTGGTATCATGGGGGGCCACGGACCTCATGTGCTCCGTGGCTAGAATCCCACAGCACCTCAGGGTATACCCCAAAGTTCCCAGAGACCACTGGGAGTTGTCTGTGCAGAGGGAATAGAGGTGGACGAGGAACAGGTGGCGCTGTGAGAGGTGCACGTGGTTCCTATAAGGACAGGATGACAAGAAGAAATGGGGGCCGTGTGTGGCAGGCAGGTGTCAGGACAGGAGTGCCGCGTGACCTGCGGTGCAGGCAAAGGACAAGGGCAGGCGCTCTGCGGCACCAGCGCTGCGGGAACTGGTTTCTCAAAGGAGATGAGAACGCTTGTGACTAGGGTGGCCATGGAGTGACACTGGAGTAATTAAGAGGCTGCTACTTTATGTAATTTCCTCAGCCAGCTTCTAGAATCAAAGGGCACGGCTTTCTCTGTACCTTAAGTAGATTCATTACTGGGGTTTCTGACCTCCTGCCTTAGGAGAGGAGGGACCAACATGTCTGCCAACAGCAGATTCATGTGTCACTCTTGCCACACTGCCTGGCGGGTTCCTCCACCACACAGAGTATGCTTCTGCAGTTGGACACTGCAGAGCTAGGAACTCTGTGGCCTTGGCTTTCCATTTGGCGTCTGCCCCTGTGATCCTCCCCTCCAGCTGACATCCATGGATAGGGGTCCTGATGTCATTTTCCAAGGATCTCTGACTAAGGATCATGAGCTAAAACCTGTTATGCCACCTCTCCACTTGACCAGTGCTCAAGCTTCCAGCTGGTGCTGCAGACAGGACTGTGATACGCCCTGGGCTCTGGGGACAGAGACAGGCCTGCCACCGTGCTATGCTAAGAGGAGGGGACTAAACCAAGGTTGTCTGAGCCTGGTGTCCCCAGGTGTGGGGGCACAGAGCTGGGGTATTGGATACAGGTGGAGGGCCAGGGTGACAGATGAGGTGACACTGGGACACACGCCTGCGGGTGGGGCCGGTGCTGACAGAGCTTCCTCCGCTGTGCAGAGCCGCGCGGGGCCCTCAGGCCGGGCACCAACTGGTCTCTCTCTTGCAGACCGGAAGCCTCCCCTTGCCGCTGCCTTAGGCGAGGCCGAGCCACCAGGCCCAGTGGATGCCAGTGACCTTCCCAAAGTGCAGATCCCTCCTCCGGCCCACCCAGCCCCCGTGCACCAGCCACCACCGCTGCCACACCGGCCCCCGCCCCCACCTCCCTCCAGCTACATGACCGGCATGTCCACCACCAGCTCCTACATGTCTGGCGAGGGCTACCAGAGCCTGCAGTCGATGATGAAAACGGAGGGCCCCTCCTACGGTGCCCTGCCCCCAGCCTACGGCCCACCCGCGCACCTCCCCTACCATCCCCATGTCTACCCTCCTAACCCTCCCCCACCACCTGTGCCCCCCCCTCCTGCTTCCTTCCCCCCACCCACCATTCCCCCTCCTACTCCAGGCTACCCGCCTCCACCCACCTACAACCCCAACTTCCCACCTCCACCCCCACGCCTGCCCCCTACCCATGCGGTCCCACCCCACCCTCCTCCAGGCTTGGGTCTACCACCGGCTAGCTACCCACCTCCTGCTGTCCCCCCTGGAGGACAGCCGCCAGTGCCCCCGCCCATCCCCCCTCCGGGCATGCCACCCGTGGCGGGGCTGGGGCGCGCAGCCTGGATGAGATAACCTGATGCCTCTTTTCCCTTGGTTGGTTTTTGTTTTTTTTTTACCAATTTTTTTCTAATCAACTTGGTAGTTTAAGTGGGTAAGCAGCAGGGTACCTTGGATAATCTAGACAACTGCAGTGTGGCAGGAAGGGGTGAAATCGGGGAGGTCCTTCCTCACACCAGGAGGGAGGGGACAGCCGGCTCCAGGGTGGCCCCCGCAGCACCTCGTGGCCTCACGCACGTGGTTTAAGCTGATGTGGCCTAAGAGTCCTGCGCTGGGTTCCTTTATACTAGTGAAATGTTGGCCGGCCACATTGGCTCAATAAATAGCTTCCCTAGGGAGTGAATTTCCTTCTAGAAATCAGTGCCTATTTTTCCTGGAAACCATTTTCAGTAGTCCACCTCCATTCAAAGTCAAGCTGTTGTCCTCTCGTTCAGTGACGTCTGCCCATGACGGCTTTGCAGGTATCCGCGTCCTCCTCTGTCCTGAGATTCTCTTGAAGGGGTGGCCTTGTGGGGTGGCTGGTCTCTTTTTCCTCCAGGGAGATGGGGAAAGGTGTACTTGGAAAGTAATGTATGTTTACATCTATTTGCAAATTCCTGTACATAAAGATATATTTTTTAAGTGTGAACATTATCAGCATACTGTGAATTCCATCTTGGTTAAAAATGAGACTCCTTCAGTCCGTTATCCAAATAAAATCAGTTCTGAATCGAGCCCTTGTTTGTTCCAGCCGAGAAGCTGGGCTTCAGCCTCCATGGTCGAGCCTGATGGGGAGGCTGGATGGAAGGACCGAGCCAAGCGCAAAGCCTGGTCTGACGCCTGCGCGGCTCTGGGAAAGCAGGTTGCCACCTTCTGGCTCAGCTTGCCCTTGTCTGACTTTAGTTTCCTTAGAGAGACCAGCTGCCTTCCCACCCAGACCTTCCCAGCAGCTGTGCATACAGCATGGGCACTGAGGTCAGACCAAGCTCAGACTGGACTTTTTTCCCATCCCTGGCCCACACAAGACAGGAGCGAGGAAGGAACAACCGCCGGCCTTCACCATCCACTGGGAGAAGCCAGCTGTCTTAAGTGGCAGACAGAACGCTAGGTGATTGGCCGGGCCCCTCTGCCGGCCACCCCTGAGCCTCCCTCCATAGAGACAAACAGTGAGCACCCAGCCCGGAGGCTTGCAAAGAGGCCTTTATTTATCTAGCGCAAAGTATACACTGTCACAATCTTATCTGTTTGTTACTCCTTTTACTAAAATAGTTCAAATCAATGTTTTTACCACACTATCAAAAAGTTCTATTTTTTTTTAACTCTCCACAAATCAAAAGTGTTTCAAGAGAAGGTAGAAACGGGCCAGAAGTCCACAGGCTCCAGCTCTGCATAGCCGGGACAGGAGGGGGCTGTGTGTAGTCACCTACAGAAAATCGCATAGGTGCCAGCTGCCGGGGCCAGCAGCCGGGCGCTCCGTCCCGTCCCCGAAAGCAGCACAAATACTTTCCCCACAGTATGAAAAATAGACACCTCTACCACCGCACCCATGCATCTCAGCTCTTAAAAAAAAAAAAAAATCAGTAGTATGGATTGTTTCCTCTCAAGTTTCAAGGAAAAAAAAAATCAAAGGTCACTTTTTCTCGTTAAACACTGGTGTGTAGCTAGTAACTTTTGGATAAAAATGTGCCACTCTAGAAAAATGTGCTCAGCAGATTCTGACCAGGCGAAGCAAGCCGCCTTGGGGGGCTGGGGGGCGGCCCCCGTCACAGTGGGTCCGGAGCCAGTGCAGGCGGGGGCTTCAGGGTCTAGAATGGGCACTAGGAATGGAGGGGTGAAAGGCCACTCTCACCACCCCTCAGGGTCTCAGAGCTGAGGCTCCAGGAAGGTCACCCAGTGTCACCCTGAGCTGTGGCCCTCAAGCTCCCTGCATGGGAGCCCCCCCCCCCGCCCTCCTGCCTGTGCTGCAGCCCCCTCTGCCTTGGCTCCCGCGGGGCTGCTGGCTTAGGGCAGGAGGAACGTCCTGGAAAGCTCCCATCCATACCTCCGCCACTCCGGATGGGGGAAGGAAGCCGCTTCCAGGTGTTCTTGCCCTGCAGGTCTGCAGACGCCAGGAGCCACGACTTATTGCTTATTTCAGTGGTAGCCAAGCCATCCTTGTCCAAACATGGCCTACCAGGGCTCCCAGAACAGCCTCCTGCCCTGTGAACCCACACCCAGCAAGGCCACAGCTCCCTGGCCTCCAGGAAGGGGCCTAACAGCTGCACAAGACCCAGGTGGCCCCGTGCCATGACCTGTGACCTGCGGGGAGGGGGTTGGGCAGCTCACCACTAGGAACAGCAGGAGCAGCACGTTTGTCCCTCCCCCACCCCACCTCACCCTAGGCCACCAAGGCTGTGGGCCTCTCCTGATTGAAGGGTTCTGGCTGGAGTGAGGAAGAGCATCTGCCCTCCCCTGGCCCTGGCCCCACCCTCCCCTCTGGCTTTCCCGGTGCTCGCTGTGTGGAGCTCTCCGTCCCCCTGGAGGAGTGAAGCTGGTGTGGGAACTGGAGAAGTGCGCCAGGGTCTGGTGGCAGTGGCATGGTGGCACGGCAGCCTGGCCCCTCGGGGCTGGATGTCATCTGCAGTGTGCCACCTCACCACCCATGGAGCCTCGGTTTCCTCACAGCAAATTGAACCACTTGCCTAGCACACTTTCCGGTGCCTGCGTGACCATTACATGGAACATCTCATTCCCCTCCCCCCCCCCCCCCCCCCGGGCCCTGCCAGGACCTGTTTCACAGCTGAGGACCTTGAGCTGGGCTCGGGGAGGAAGTGGCCTGGACACAACCAAGGCAGCAAAAGAGAGCTTGGCCCAGCTCCCCCCTAGCCGCTCCCAGCGGTCCTCCCCGCTGCCTCTCGGTGGCAAGGCCATCGAGAGCCGGGTGGTGTCAAACAGTGAGCTTGTTAAATGGAGTCTCAGGAGACCCCATTTCCCCAACGGGAACCCAAAGAAGCATTCATTCACGAAAGCCAGACCATGTCAGGTTCCTTCCTTCCCTGGGAGCATGTGACTGGCCAGTCCCTGACACTGCCCACTGGGGGGGGGGGGGGCGTGCACCGTGGACAGACACCCAGCCACGGCCTCATTTGCCTACCCGGCCTGAGATGTGCAGCTCAGCTCCGACACTCCAGACCTTCCCGTGTAAACACAGAAGGGCTCCCAGCGCAGGCCGAGGCAGCTCAGCCTGCCAAGGTTGGGGAGACCTTACAGAGAGGAGGGGTCTGAGGGGGGTCGCGATGGGTGAATGCTACAAACAAGCTGGACGCCACAACCCCTAGAGAGAGACGACCCTGAGCTTCCAGGGCTGGGGGTCAGGCAGGGCCTGGGACCCCCAGAGCCACCTCCTGCCAGCCGTGGAGTTGGTGAGTTCCTCGGCGGTGAGTCCAGGTCCCGGCCTCCGCTGGGGGCAAGGGCGGCCCTGCATCAGGATTCTGACTCCCAAGGCCTCTGGCCAGGGCTTGGGGCATCAAGGCATGGGAGGCCTGATGGATGGAACGCTCTTGATTGAAGGCGAGACTCCACTGGGCCTGGGCCTGGCCAGAAGCAGCCGTAAAGCAGCGTCAGCCTCTTGCTAATGGAGCCAGGGCCCTGAGGGAACGAGGCTGTCTGTCCAGGCCGCTCTGCACAGGGACCGCGCCGTGGCCTCTCATCTCCCCCATTTGTTGGCGTGGGACGCGGGCGATGGAGGCCTGGCCACGTCGCACCATGGCAGCCGAGGAAGCTGTGTCCTATGTACAATTCACCACAGAGAAGGACAGGAGGGGCTAGGCCTGGGACCGCGGGAGGGCAGTCCACATCCAGGAAAGAATGGCCCTACAAAGGTCCCTTGAACTGGTTCCCGGACAGGTGCTGCCGAATGGAAGGCTTGGAGCTGGCGGCGTCACCCAGTTTCCTCCAGACCACCTGCGGGGGGAAGGGGTGCAGGAGGTGAGCGCAGGCTCAGCACAGCCAACCACCAGCCAACCACCAGCCCGGTGCCGCCACTGCCTTACCGCTCACTCTGCCAAACAACGCGGGTACCAGGCACCCGGGTACCAAGGAGGGAAATGGGCCCCGGAAGGCAGGAAGTAATGAGGCCTAGGCTTTGCCCACCCTCGCCACCACACTGCCCCAAGTAAGCACAGTTACGGGCAGACTCCGCTCACAGCTCCACCATGGAGCCTGTACAGGGGTACAGTTCAGCACGCCCCCACCAACCTAAATCCCGGGCTCAGGCCCAGTGAAATCTCCCCCTGGCGCTGGCAAGGGGGAGATTTGTTCTCTAGAGAACAAATGGCGGTGCGGTGATGGAGGGCGAGGCTCTGGGGTCCCCCAGCCCTGCAGGCCTGCGGGGCTGCCAGGGGTCCCACCTGCATCTCCAGCTCCATACTCCACCGACATTTCCCGGGCACCCGCGCAGCTAGTCCCTGTCTGCCCAGTCCTCTCGCCTGCCTGGCCAGCAGCCACTGAGGGGCACCAGCAAGCTGGGAGGCCCAACACCAGGCACCCAGGGCACCAACGGCCGAAGGGTAGAACCCTAGGATGAAGACCGGTGCTGGGGGGGTGCGGAGGGAGGCCCACAAGCTCAGGCTCTATGCAGAGCCCCAGGCTGGGACTCTGGGGAAGGACAGACCTGGGGAGCAAGATGACAGACCAGTGCTCCCACAGACTCCACGCCACCCCCGCCATGCAGGCCACCCAGCTGCAGCATGCAGGGAAGGGGGCGCGCCAGGCCCCGCCCCGCCCCGCCTCGCCCCAGGAAGTGCCTCACGTTGCACATCTCTCGGACGATGGCCTTCTCCTTCTCGCTCAGATCCTCCTCGCAGCTGTCCTGGAGCTGTCGGTCCAGGTTCTCGTGCACTTCCAAGACCTGAAAGGAACAAGGCCCGGGAGGAGGCAGTGGGGCAGGGTGACCACAGGCAGGTGGCCCTTGCGGTGTGTGGCAGTTGCCGCTGGCAGCGATGCCAGGGAATGCCAAGTCCCCCATCTGGTGTGCAAAGAAAGGGAGGGGGCTGGGAACAGACCTGCGCTCGACTGCAAACTCTCAGCAAGCACGGCAGCCCCGTGACACCTGTGCCTGGGGGCCGAGGCTAGCCTGACAGGCTTCAGCCCCGCCCCACTCGTGACTTTAGTGAGTGCCTGTCCCCACTACCACCACCGCACACCTGCCTCCCCAGCTGCTGTCACTCAGGGTAGACAGGTGACCACACGCCGCTCTGGGGCTCCTCACCACACCCTCACTCCCACCTGCAGACGCGCCCCTCCTCCCGCTGCAGGACCTCAGACCACAGCTGCACAGCTGTGGCCCTTACCTTCATGGCGTGCACCACAGCCTCAGGCTTCTGTCCTGCGGTGCTGTAGCCCGTGGACGGGGGCGAGGGCAGCTCCGGGACAGGGCAGGTGGGGCCCTGTGGAGGAATCACACAGCCAGCTTAGCTCTGCCTGGCGGCACAGATTGTGTGGGGCTGAGGGAGGCGAGGCGGCTCTTCCCTGATGGCCACACCAGCAAGTCTGAAGATGACCTGGTCCCGTGTGGAACGGAGGCAAGGGGGCTGCGTGTGCAGGACCCACAGTCTGCTTGGCAGGGAAAGTGGGGACAGCAGGCTGAGGAAGACCAGGGCAAAGCCGTTACCTGAGACCAAAGGCCACCCAGCCTCCTGGGCCCTGCTTCCCCATCCAGCCCTGACCTGCGCATGGGCAGGGAGTGACTAAGCCACCAGGTCCCCAGCACCCTGGTGGGACAGCAGGGAGGAAGGGACCTGGTTTCTGTCAGAAGCTATCTCCACCCCGCACTCCTCTCCAGGCGGCTCTGGCACAGCTCAGTCCTGCCCTGGGCTGCGGTGTGGCCTCCAGGCCAAATGGAGAGCAGCAAGAGGCACTTCTGAGGTGACCCTGAAGCCAGGGTCAGAGGATCTCTGTGCAGCTCCCATGTACATGAGACGACCCCTACATACAATAAACCAGTAAAAAGCCAGGAATGGAGGCATGGCTCAAGTGGTAGAGTACCAGCCATGAATGAAAAAGCTGAGAGAGGCTGTGCGCTCCAGCCCCAGTACACAACTTAAAAAGGAAACACTGTTTCCTTCTTAGGACACAGGCTGGAAAGTCCTTCCAGCCACACAGCCGCGAACAGAGCAGCCCCTTCCAATGCCACCAGTGAAGACCACCCCACAGGGCCATTACCCCAGCCCAGAGCCTCCCACTGCGCTGGCAGTCAAGCCCTCGGCCCTCCCAGGGTGCTTCACCCACTCTGCAGGCCACACAGCCTTGGGGTCCTTGAAAGCCAGGGATGAGCAAGGTTCCTTTGGCCCCTTTTAAACCTATTACCTCATCTGGATAAGAAAGGGTCTCAAGTCCCAGGAGGCATGCAGACCCCCAGGAGATGCTTGAGGGCTTTCCTAAGCCCCAGCCCAGGCTACCTGACCTCTGTTGCCCAGGCCTGTCACGTGGGAAAACTAAAACAGGTCATAGGTGAGGAGTATCCTCTCTTGAGGCCACCCTGACTTGAGAAGGTGGTATAACCACCATTGACCAGCAGGGGGTGTCGGACACATACAGAGACCCTGGGCGCCCAGCGTTGGCACTGCACCCTGGACAGCTCACATCCCTCTCTGGGGGCACTGCCAGGTTCCCAGGGAAAGCCTTGTACCAGATGGCCCTGGCACCTCTGGCCTATGTCCTTAAGTACCTACACCATGGGACGATGCAGCCCCAGGACTGATTCCCAGAGGAATAGCATGAGGGACGAAGGGACCAGTACAACCCCACCCTCCTGGCCCACTCGCCACAGCAGCCGGGCCTGGCATTTCCAGAGGACGCTGGCCGCCGCACAAGAATATTTAATGACTGATTACAGCATGGTGCTAGCGTCAGGACTCCTGTCCCCTTGGGCCATGCCACCTCCCACTGCCAAACACCTGACACTGGAGTTAGACCACTGAGTGCCTAAGGCCACCCATCAGGCAGATGCTTTTTCCACCAGCTCATTTCGCAGGAGGCCCAATAGGCTGAGACATGGATTGCTCAAGTCCAACTTGCATAAACAAGCAGCTGGGCCTGGAATCTGGGACTGTACAGGAACACCAGAGCTGATGCCAGAAGTGGGGACCACCGTGCCCGTCAGCGGCACCCAAAAGCAAATACACATGCATGCACGAAAGCCCCCAAAACTGAAACATCCCAAAACCTACAGAGGACTATGTGACCAGCTACTGAACACAAAGCAATGAAGGCTGATGCACGTCTGAACCGTAGGCCCCACCTACATGAAACATCAGGACCGGTAAATCTAGAGCCAGCGAGCCAATCACAAGCTGCTTGAGGGAGGGGCTAGGAGGTGCTCCTGAGACCTACGATGTTGTAATCATTCATTACACAATGCTAAATTTTACTAAAAACCAGAGTTGATTCAAAAACCTAGTCAAGCCAGGCAGGAGTGGCTCACACCTATAATCCTAGCTACTCAGGAAGCTGAGATCTGAGGATCACAGTTCAAAGTCAGCCTAGGCAGGAGAGTTCGTGATACTCTTATTTCCAATGAACTAGCAAAAAGCCAGAAGGGAAGCTGTGACTCAAGTGGTAGAGCACCAGCCTTAAGTGAAAAAGCTAAAGGAAAGCACCCGGGCCCTGAATTCAAGCCCCAATATCAGCATTTAAAAAAAAAAAAAAAAAGCATGAAGACCAATTTCCCCAAGGGACCAGTCAGAAAGCTTGACTATAATAAACCACCTCTGCCCTGGGTCCAACAACCAGGGGACACGGGAAGGTCACATACCCAGGCACCTGTGTTAGCCAGGACACTTTCATGCTTGGCCTGCTGCCATCCCTGAGCCCCTGACCCACAGGAGGCCCAGGTGTGGAAGAGCAGGTGCAGTCCCAGCGCCTGAAGAACCCTCTCTCAGGGTCAGTGCCAGGCATGGGATCTCCAAGGCCCAGCTAGGCCCAGAGCCCTGAGCATGGACACACTCCACAAAGCCCAGCCTCTGCCCCCGTGGGCGGGCTTCAGTGGCTGGTCTATGGGACATGTGACCCCAGTACTTGCCTGCCACCGCCCTGCTCCCATGCTCCTGCCCCTCAGATTACTGCCCTAGTCTATCTCGGTGAGCAGAAGACCCCACATACACGGCCCCCACAGACCCTTGACCTCCAGTCCCTAGCCATTGAGGCCTGAAGTTCAGCTCACTCTCCTCTCCAAAATGGGGTGACAGCCCCTCATGTGAGGTGAAGTCCTGCACAAGGCCTCCTCCAGGAGGCCTCCCCCCTGCCTGTTCTGCTAGCCTGGGGTATGCCCTTCACAGGCTGCATGGAGCAAGCCCCTGGCTGTCTGGCCCATCACCAGAGCCAGCACCTAGGAAGGGGGCTCGTATTAGTCCCCTGCGCAGCGAGAATGGAGGGAAACAGGGAGAGATGGGGCGGGGGGGGGGAGGCCTGGGAACCGGGCAGCAGGCCGAGCCTGCCTCTGCCAGTGCTGCAGCCCTGCGTGGCCACCGAGGGCCCACAGTCTGCGAGCAGGGGGCGCACGCACCGCCTGGGAGACCCTCCGTGCAGGATGCCGTGGCTGACCAAACTTCAAATGGCCCACACAAGACAATGCAGTGGGTGTCCCCTCGGGGCTGATCATGTGCACACCCAGCGCAGCGGGGGACCTCACTGTCCCGTGGACATGAGCTGCCTGAGGTCACCGCCAGGACGCAGGTGAGCCGGACCCCATGACAGCGCAGGGCTGGCTGGCTGCTGTCAGGCAGGGTAATGGGCATACCACCCACAGGTGAGCACATTTCAGCCCACCAGCTCGGGACAGAACCACCAACCCGAGCTCCCCCGCCCCTCGCTGCAGAGTCTGGGCAGCGACCGCCGCCTCCAAGCTCCAGGACCACAGTGTCCAGGCCCCGCTGAACTGCGCGGAAGACTTGGGTTCCAGAGGTCCAGCAGCACCTGGAGGCTTCACCTCTGACCGCCACGCTGGGCCATCACAGGACTCCGAGGTCCAAAGGGTCCGGGCGCTTCCCCAGAGGGCGGAGGTGAGGAAGGCACTGAGGGCCCAAGCCCTGCCACTGCCAGGAGCTGCCCTGGACGCAGCGGCTGCTAGATGAGCCTGGTCTTGGCCACAGGCCAGCCATGGCGGGCTGGAGATGGGAGCAAAGCCTCTGAAGACGTCTGGGGCGTGGGGCGGGAGGGGGAGGGGGCACTTACATTCTGGGGGACATCCTGGTAGGAGGGCGGCAGCGATGCAAGCTGGGACTCGGAGTGGTATGGGGAGAAGCCCTTCCGCAGAGTACGGAACTCTCCAGAACCCACCTGCTAGAGAGAAAAGAGAGAGGGGGTCAGACCATTAGTCCAGTGGCAGGGGGGGGAGGGGGTGCCCTGGCCCAGACCCTGGCATGCTAGGCACAGCCCTCCCCTCCCGCCCTCCTCACGGCACAGCAGCTGCCCAGCTGCAGCGTCCGCACACACACCAGACACCGCCGCTCACTGCCCATGGGGGGTGGGGGGGACCTCTGCTCCAGCACCCACCCTCACCAGTCCCTGGGGAGACAGCCTCTCCCGCCCTTGAGCCCTGTCCACCAGCCAGGCCTGCACCTCCCTCGGCTCTGCTGTCCTCCGTGGAGGAACCTGGCACAGTGCTCCAGCCACCACCACCACCGGCCAGGGAGCGCCCCACGCCACCACCACCAGCCAGGGAGCGCCCCACGCCACCACCACCGGCCAGGGAGCGCCCCACGCCAGCTCCTGGTTTTGTCAGGAACCAGTGTTAGTGGGAGAGAGGAAAAAAGGTAGGGAGGGAACAAGGGGGGAAGGGGCGGGGGAGGGAGGCCAAGCCAATGCTGGCCTTAGGAGGCGCCCAAGGACAAAGCAAAGCCCTCGGGAGGGAGGCTGGGAGCAGGGACCAGAGTTGGAACGAGTTCCGGATTCCAGGATTCCCCGAGCCCCAGGTGCTGGGGGGCGGGAGAGGCTGGCACAGGCTGGCAGCCTCGCCTCCACACTGAGACTTTCCTGGTCCAACACTTGTCTACTTCAAAGGAGCAGAGAGGGAGCCAGCCCTGGGGCAGGTAACACGCAGCGGAATGGAACGGCCGCGCATCAGCAAGCTGTGCAGTTCCCCCACAAACCCAGCCAGGAGAGGCCGGCTGGGCAGCAGCCCTGTGAGGGCGATCCTCCCCCAACTCAGCAGCCCCCCCCTCACCCAGCCTGGGAGAGATCCACACAGACCCGGCCGGCCCCCCACCATGCCCAGCCCCCCATTCCTCCCCAAGCCCTCCTCCCCTCTCCCCCCACACACAGGCTGGACCTTGGCCTTGTGCAGGTGCAGTTCAGGAGTTCAAGCTGAGACAAGTCGCCCCAGGAACCCACCAAAGGCTAGGTGCAGGGGGACAGGCTGAGCAGTCTCTCATCACCCCCCAACCAGACACCTGTCACAGCCAGCCCCCCAGGAAGCCTCCAGGGGCGATATGAGCTCGGTGGGCTCTGCTGGCTCACAGGTGCTGGGGGTAGGGAGCTGTTTCCTGAGCCCCAGGAAGCCCTGGGTGGGACAAAAGGGGGAGGCAGCGGAAGCTGCCCCCTGCTCTCAGTGAGGTCCGGGGGCTTTGGGCATCAGGCAGGACCTTGTGTCCTACCTGCATCGCACAGAAGGGTTAAAGGCCACAGAATGTCGAGCCTTTCTAGCCACTGAGCGTCCCCAGGGCTGAGAAAGGAAAGAGGTACCCTCCATCTGGGCAAAGCACTCTTCCCTGGCACAGGGGACCCTGTCCCCCACTTCTTGCCCAGCACTCTCTGGTTCTGTTCCTGGTAGCAACCAGATCTGTGAAACACACCCCCAGGCCCCACTCAAAGGCAAAACTCCCACTCATCTCCTGGCTACAAGTCTCCTACAGAGAGCTGGTCCCAAATCCAGTAGGACACGCCTGCGTCCTGAGGGAGCTGCCCCACCCCCTCGCCGAGGCTGCCAGAGGAGGCGCCGGGCACAGCCACAACCATCCATGGCAGCCACGGCTCGCTCCCGCCACCCTCGGGACCCAGGCCGGGTTGCCCCGTCCACACCCGCATGCACTCCTGAGGAGCCCCTTGGCCGCTGTGGGGAACAACAGCCCTTGCCAGATAACATTCAGGGAGGCGGGGAGGGGGAGGCGTGCGTCCTGGGGACGGGGCTGTTTTCATTAGTGGCATGCCAACTCCCATCCTGCCTCTGGTGAGCATCTATAAATATGTGCGTGTTCACAGAACTTTATTAGCAAGCCACAGGGCCAGGCAGGAAAAATGCACAGATCCCATTAAGGGGCGACGTGACTAATGACACATCAAATGAGTAACCATTATTGCACTTAAGTCCCAATTAAAAATCCTGCTACTCGCCATGTTGTGCCCTGGGCAGAGTGAGATCCCTAGGTAACCATCATAGAGGGGAAGCGGGAGCTGAAATCACCTTTGAGGCTGTGCCTGACGCCGTATGAAGGGTACTCTTCCACATTATAGCTTGCCCCCTTCCCAGAAGCCCTTCCCACCCCCCTCCCCCTTCCCAGGACCCCTTCCTACCCCACCCCCTGGCTCTTCCTCAGACAGCTCCCTCTCAGACAGGGCAGCTGTGAGCACGCTCAGGGCTGGCCTAGGACTTCCGCAGCCCTTCCAGCTGTAGCCCCCGTAACGCTCATTAGGAGCCTTCTGCCCAGGCATGTGGGGCTGTCCAGTGTCCGCCTGAGAGAGTTCGGGACAAGGAGCAAGGAGATTCGACCGGCTTCAGGGCCCCTATTCCACCAAAGCCCCGTGGTGGAGGTCAGCGCAGGCCTCTGCCCAGGGCCTGCATCAGGGCTGCCAGCTGGGCGCCTGCGTTGGCTGCGGGACCTCCAGCTGCTGGGTGCTGGCCAGGCTCCTCAGTAGCAGGAGCGGCCAGTCCATCCCCTCCCTGCAGAGCCTCGAGGGCTCACTGGAAGCAGCCCTGGGATAAACTGGCCAGCGCTGGCACAGGGGGGACATGGATGCTGGGAAGGTGGCTTCGCGGTGGAGTGCTTGCCCAGCATGCATGAAGCCCTGGGTTCGATTCCTCAGTACCACATACACAAAAGGGGAGGCATGGAGACACGAGGGCACAGCCCTCCCAGCCTGGGCATCAGGAGGGTGGTTGGCTGGCACCTTCCTGGGCTCTGCTGGGGGTCCACTCATGCCCCGTCTATCAACTCCTCAAACATGCCATCTGCAGCAGCCATCCTGTGCTCATAGAGCCTTCCAGAGCGCCCCACCCCCACCCCGGGGCGGGGCAGAGCACAGCACGGGCACTGTGAAAGGAAGTTGCCAAGTGCCCCACCCGGCAGCCTGCCCACAGGAGATACTCAGACCAGCAGGCCCAGAGCCCCCAGATTCGTTTAGGCAATGCCAACAGAGCAGGACCCTCCATGAGGCCACCCAGCAACTCTGGACTCATCTTCTGCCTGAAAGCCCTGGAGGCAGGGGGGAACGGGGAGGGGGACATTAAGCACCTGAGTACCTGACCCAGAGGATCAGGTACCATTCAGCAAGGTTGGAAGGTGGGAGCCTAGTTCTACCATGGGAGAGGTGAGAACCAAGGCGGGAAACGCCACATGAGCCTTGTGCAGCAACCATTGGCAACGCGCTGCCCTGCTGTGGACTAGGCGGCGAGGCAGTGTCCAAGGCCCCATGGCCACTCTGGGGAGTGACCGGGCTGCGGAGCTGGCGAGCGCTCAGCCCCATTCCCTGCTAATCCCACACCACCAATGCACCAACCTCTCAGGCCTGCTGAAGCACAAAGCAAAAGGAGACGCTGCCCACCAGGTGCCTACACATCCCCCAGGCCCACGGGCCTCCCTCCATCCACTGTCCCTAGCCATGAAAGGAAACATGGTGGGAGGTCCCAGGGCTGGTCAATGAAGTGTATTCAATGGTCTGGGTGCCCAATAATACCTGCTCCACCCAGGGAACGCTGGCCAGGCTGGCCCCACAGGAAGCAGGGCTCAACTGCAGGACTTCCACAGGCCATTCCCCCACCAGGAGCGCTGGGACTCCAGGGGAAGCTGGAGCCACCCACTGGCCTGGGCCCCACGGCCTGATCAAGTCCAAAGCCTTTTGGGATCCAGGCTGTCCCTAGAGTAGGAGCTAACGCACGAGGGGAGCTGAGCAAGGTAGCAGCCCACAGGGCGAGTGAGGGGGCTCCCCCTGAGCCGGTGGGGTGCGCTGGTGACGGGTGCAGTGGGAGCATGGGAGGGGGAGGGGCCCCAAGCCCAGTGCATGCACACAGCTGAATTTCTATAGGCCAGGGGTTCCAACTGGGGGTGATTCTGACATGGCGGGGTGACCCCTGGAGACGTCTATGACGTGTTTGTCACGAATGGTTGTAAGTGCAGGCTCGGGAGGCTGCTAGACACCTGAGGGTGCACCTGCCCTGTGCGTGCGGGGCTGAAGCCTGACCCGGGGCGCTGGAGACGCCAAGAGGGCAGTGAGAGGGACAGGCAATCTAGGCAGCCAACTCAGGACTGGGAGAGAACGGAACAAAGATGAGGCCGCCAGAGGCCTGAGGGCCATCAGGAAAGCGGCCCTGGTCTCAGAGCTGTTCCTGCCCCTCCGGGCTGCAGGCCCTGCCCTGCTGGGGTTGATGGCAGCCCCAGGATCCTTCCACATGGGCCGCATGAGCTGCCGGTCCCCAGCCCCCACCGGCCCCCAGCCCCCACTGGCTCAGCAGATCAGGAGAGGTCACTCATACCAGCCTGGGTTGCTCTTCCTGGGAGCCACATGGGCCGGGGGGGTGGGGGGGGAACGGGTGCAGGCACTGGCTCTATAGTCACTGGTGTGGCCTAGACAAAGCCATGCTCTGCCCTGACCCAAAAGTTTCCTGCCACAGAGCCCAAACTACCACCAGCCCTTGCCAGCTCAGGGCATCCAGTGAGAAGCAGGCAGCAAAGGGCTGCTTCGGGGCCCATCTCAGTTAGTATGTGGCAAAACTGTGAGTGAGCGAATGCCAGCTCAGAGAGGGCAGCATCCAGGGAGGCACCAGGTGTCAGGGAAGGGGACACAGCAGACACTGCACAGCACTCGGAGAGCAGCCCTCCCCCCCCACGCCAACTCACCACCACAAAGCCCCTCCCTCCAGCTCTACCTGCAGCCAGCTCCTCGGACGGCCATAGGGGCGGGGCAGCTGGAAGAAAGAACAGAGTTACCCAGCTAACACGGGCAGGGCTGTCCCTCTACCCTGCCCTGTCCCCGGATGTCTGCTGGCCCGAAGCCGGGCCCTGGTGGGTTTGCTCTGCTGAAGGACAGAAGGTGAGGAGGTCCCAAAGCCACTCATAAGAGCTCCATGTTCTAGAAAGTACTGGTGTAATAAGGATTACCTGAGCATCCTGGCCTCACCCAGGAGCCCTCATAGTCTACCCCAAGCTCAAGTACTCCCAAAGAACCTTCCAGCAGCCCTCTGGAGAGACCCTAGGATGGGGGAAGGGGTCCAGATCCCTGCCAACTCAGATAGGCCAGCGGAGGACCCCACCAACACGCACAAGTGCCCTGCAAGCACTGGCCCGGGAGTGGCCCAGCGCACCACCTGGGTCTGCCTGGAGCTGCTCCTTCCTGTGAAGAGAACTCGTTTGTAGGCCATTAGGAACAAAGGGGCTGCTGCTCTGGCGCAGAGCCTGAGGCTTCTCCCTCATTAGCGCTCAGATTAGGCAGCAGGGATTAGCTGTGGGTTCCTGCTCCACTAATGTCACTCTGCGCAGCTGCAGCCTCCTCCCCCAGGCAATTTCATGCCCCAAATCCCATTGCCAAAGCTGGCGTAGGGTCCACCGGAACCACGTGGCCTGTGGCACAGCGGGTGGCACTCAGGTCAGCTCCCCCACCACCGCAGGACCCAGAGAGGTGCAGGCGGCAAAATCCAAACCCTACTGTGGCCAGCTGGGTCCATGGGGGTGACCTGCCAACGTCCTAGGGGCCCGAAGCTCACAGGCACCACCACAACAGAAACCCAACCTCTCCTCACCAGCCAGCCCAGTGCTTTCTCCAACTGTCCTTTTAACTCTCTGTGTCTGAAGTAACAGAAAGGCTATGTCACCTGCATCATGCCACTCAGCTAAGGGTGACACTGGTGATCTGAGCCAGGCTGGCTCTGGAGTCCAGGTCTGGCTGTCTCCTGCCACATCTGGCCTGTAGTGGATACTGTCCAGGCCTCCAGCCCCAGGTAGGGCTCCTCATCTCCACCCACCGCCTTGCTAGACAGGCCATCTGCTTGGAGGCGGGAGGCAGGAGTTCCTGGTAGAGAAGCTATCCTGACGAATCAACTCGAAGGTTTCTGCTAGGGACGTATTTCAACTTCTCCAAAGCCACTGACTCTAAGCTGCCCTGGGCAGACTGCAAGGAGACAAGGCAGGCAACCGCAGACGCCAGAGGGACAGAACCCGGATGCTCTAAGCTGGTGCACAAAACAGTGCGCTGAACTGCCACCAGAGGAACAAGGCCAGAGCCTCTGGAGGAGCCAGGGCTCAGGCTGCAAGGGGTCAGCGAGGAGTTCGGAAGGAGGCTCCTTGTCCTCTCGCCTGCCCAAATACGAAGGCCAATGCACAGAACTTACCCAGGCACGGCCTGTGGGGAGGCCCCGTCATCTGGCTCTCAGGATGAGGAAAATGAGGCAGGCACAGCCCCCAAGAGTGCTTTGGGAGCAACGGGCATTCCACCCTGGGCTGGGAAGAGTGGGGAGCCAATGAGGACCAGGAGGCAAGACAGGCATAAGGTGAGCCCTGGGGGCAGGGATGGTTTTACTCAAGACCTCTCCAGAGCCCAAACTCAGGCCCACACCACTGCAAAGGCGGGGCGCGGCCACACCCCACCCCCAACCCCTAAGACCTCAGAATGTCACGTTCATCTCTTTGAAGATGAGGACTTTTACAGATGTCATTAGTCCAACTGAGGTCAGTAGGGTGACCCTCATCCAATATGACCAGCATCCTCAGGAAAGAGCAGTTAGGATAGAAACGCAGGCGGAAGCTGGGTACTGGTGGCTCACGCCTGTAATCCTAGCTACTCAGGAGGTTAAGACTCACAGTTTAAAGCCAGCCCAGGCAGGAAAAGCCCCTGAGACTCTTACCACCAATAAACTACCAGAAAACCCAAAGTGGCACTGTGGCTCAAGCAGTAGAGCGCTCACCTTGAGCTGAAGAGCTGAGGGACAGCGCCCAGACCCAGAGTTCAAGCCCCGACAAAAGAAAGTTCAAGACCGACAAAAGAAAACAAAACAAAGAAACGCAGAAGACAGACAGACAGACAGAAGGGAGACTGTGACGACACCATGTGCAGGCAGGACAGGGGCCTGGAAGGAGCCAGCCCGCCAATCCTTGATCTTAGTCTTCCCCCAGTCTCCAGGACTGAAGGAAGTTGTCATTATGGCAGCCAAGCAAACTAATACAGCAGCCATGCCAGGAAGTCCTCATCCACCGGGGCCTCAATTTCCCCACTGTCATTCCTGAGGGCCCTGCACTCCTGCAGAGGGTCACGCAGGAAATGATGGACTCAAGGGGAAGGTGAGAGCCCTTCCTAGCCACCAGCCTGGACCACTACCTCACTACCTCCCTCGTAGCCACAGGCGGAGCCAGGGGAGAGAACACAAGGGCTGCATGCTCTTTTGTGAAGCTGGCTTCCCAGTGCAGGCCTGGCGTTTTATTCATCAGCCCAGCAGGGGACTAACC